CCCCAAAACCCCAAAACCCCAAAACCCCAAAACCCCGAAAATAAATACAAAATTGAAACTCTTCTTATTCTGTCATACTAGTGTTATATATAAATTTATATATTCACGAGAAAGTTGTTCAGCCTGATCATGACAACGATTATGATGCCAATGTTCATACCAACATTGCAGATGATTGATCATAGGTATCCTATAGAGTTCAAAAATATAGCTTACCAAATTTCTTTCTCATCCAGAGGGATATTCTGCAATAGATTGAGAAAAATCCTACTGCTATCAGACCAACAACTGGTCCATCTATGAAATCAAAGATGAAATAAGCTCAGAAACCGAAGCATAATGAAATCAGCCACTTTATGATTCCTAGTCTGATCGAATAACCAAAGCATTCATATACATAAAGATTCCAATAAAAGACATTTAAGATCGGAAGGATGAACATGAAATAAAAAGAGCAAAGACCAGCTCGAATCACCAAAAACATGGACAGCTCTTGAACTCCTAGCTTGTCTCCCTCGGGTTTGATGTCTCTTAAGGAAGGGACTACACCCCAAAGGGGTACAAAAATTATACATACAAAGAATGATGCGAAGCTTGCAATTTTTCCATGATTTCCTTCCATAATAGGTGCTGCTTTCATCCTGCTCCAGACTCCATCCATTTGTCTGAACGTGAGGAGCATCACCACAGGATATATGAGTAATCAAAAGAGAGTAAGCCCTATAAAACCAAAGTAGAGATAGGGGCTATAGGTAAACCCTACTAAATATGTTCCCATTGGAATCACTAGGTTGAATATTAATATGAGGAACGACACTGGGGATACCCTTGCTTTAGAGGCATTATCTCTGACCATACTACTGTCTTCCCAGCTAGATTCTTCATCTATACCTCCTAGGGGAGATTTCTTGTGCATTTTCAAAATTTATCAACTATTTTAAAAAATATTGGGGTTTTGGGGTTTTGGGGTTTTGGGGTTTTGGGGTTTTGGGGTTTTGGGG